TATGGTTATTCTTGTCAAATACATTGCACAAAGAAGTTTACTAGTTTCATCTACTCCTGAACATATTTAAAGAGTTAATCAGGGAATGCTCATTATCAGCTGGTTTTCCGGTAACAGATTTTTTTTTTCCGGACAACAACTTGGATAGAAAAGGAGCTTGAACCATCACCAAAGATAATAAATTGAAACATATCTAAATATTTACTTGGGAGAAATTACACCACAGAAATGGTGTAATAATATGGGAGTAAGTGGTAAACTATGGCTACCAAGAGGGGCAAAATGTAGGAGACAAGGACAGCGTTGCAAGATAGAGGTCTCCTCCAGGCAGATTACGATTTAGCATCTAGACCCTGGGTGCTCTTTCATTATCTTACACTCTGCATGCCACCATCCATTGCTTGTTTGTACATCTCCCTGCCTAAACCACCGCTGTACCTGGATTTAAGTGGTGAATCTTGGGATTTGGGTAAACCATGAAATAGCTAACACAACCTGAAGTCAGCTCACCACATTTATAAAAATTGCACCACTTTTCTTGTAGGGATGATGCCAACACTAAAATTGTAGAGCTAAGAACAGAACTGGGAATTTATTTATTACAGCCACTCGTTGTTGTGGTTTCCCTCTCTCTTTCTCTTCTTTCTTTCTCTCCTTCCTTCCCTCCCTCTTCCCTTCCTTCCTTCCTTTCTTTTTTTTCTTTCTGTCTCTCCTTCCTTCTCTTCTTCTTCCCTTCCTTCCCCCCTCCCCCATATTTTCTTTCCCTTCCTTCCCTTTCTTCCTTCTCTACCTATTCTTGGACTGCAACTCCCAACAGTCCTCTTGATCGATCTACCTATCTAATCTATCTATCTGGAGGATGGTTGGGAGTTGCAGTCCAGGAATAGGAAATAGGAAATATGCAGGGATTGGGATGCTCTCAAAGAAATCCAAGGAGAAGAAAGCTTGCATCTTGGAAGCAGTGCACTTGGATCATCCGCCTCTCCTAAAGGGCCTGGTCTAGAGGGTGCTGGGAGCTGTGGTCCGAAGGAGAGTGAGGATATGCTATTGTGTGTTTTGTATGCTGGGGGAGTTGTTTTTGCGCATGCTCTGTAGCATATTTTTGCTCTCTTTTTTTTTTGCCTTTTTAAGTCCCTTCTGCTGTGTTTTTCAGTGTTTTTATGAATGATGGTCACTCGTTGGCCTGATAGGTGTATTGTGTCCAAATTTGGTGTCAGTTCGTCCAGTGGTTTTTGAGTTATGTTAATCCCACAAACAAACATTACATTTTTATTTATATAGATTTATTTAAAACATTTATATTCCGCCCTTCTTACCCCAAGGGGGACTCAGGGCGGAGCACAATATATATACAGAAAACATTCAATGCTGATGCAAAAATGCGGAAGGGCTTTATCAGCGTCGCAGATGGACGATGAAAGCGACAGCTCCTCTGGGGCCAGAAAAAGTTAAATAGCCTCTGTGTAGTCTGTATATGTTTGTATGTCAAAAATTGGCATTGAATGTTTGCCATATATATGTACACTGTAATCCATCCTGAGTCCCCTGCGGGGTGAGAAGGGCGGAATCTAAAAGCTGTAAATAATAATAATAATAATAATAACAAACTATAAACACAAATAAACACTAAAATCAGTTATCACAATGTAAAATCCACAGTTTAAAACAATCTCAAATCATTCACCTCGTGAAGTCGGATTTGGCCATGGTGGTCCATGCCTTAGTTAGCTCCAGATTGGATTATTGCAATGCACTCTACGTGGGGCTGCCCTTGAAGACGGCCTGGAAATTTCAATAGGTTCAACGGGCAGCAGGCCAGGTTGCTAACTGGTGCTTCTTACAGAGAGCGGTCAACCCTCCTGTTCAAGGAGCTCCATTGGCTGCCATTCATTTCCGGTCCCAATTCAAGGTGCAAGTTCTTACCTACAAAGCCCTGAACGGTTTGGGACCCGCCTACCTGCGTGACTGCATTTCTGTTTACGAACTTACAAGATCTCTCCGATCTTCCGGAGAGGCCCTCCTCTTGCTACCGCCTCCTTTGCAAGTGTGACTTGTGGGGACGAGAGGGCCTTCTCTGTGGTGGCCCCCCAACTCTGGAACTCACTCCCCAGAGATATTAGACAAGCCCGCACCCTGTCAGTCTTTAGGAAGAGCTTGAAAACTTGGCTGTTCCAGTGTGTCTTCAATGAATGAATGAACAATAATTCCCTGATCTGACCAAGTCCTGCTAAATGCCCCCGCAAGCACTTTATTTTACCTGTTAGTGCAATCAAATCCTACTTATCCCTCGGATCCCCTGTCCAGATACATTAAATTGTTGTCTCACCCAGTGTTTTAATTTTCAATTTATTGGATCTAGCCCTGCCCACTGCCCACTGGAGATCTAGTTAAGATGTTATTTAAGTGTCTTCATTACCTTCCTGAAGCAGAACAGACATTTAGGGCAGGATGAATTTGCCTGCTGCTCCCCGAAACGCTTCCAGATCTTCTCCAGAACCCATTGAGAGGCACGATTCATTCAAATTCATTCACATGTCAGTAGATATAGGTAAGTTATACAGATATCCCACTATTAGAATGCCCAGCACAGGTCTTGAAAGTGTATGCATTTTGAGAGCCGTTCTCTTGGCATTTGTATTTTTATGTGCATTTTCTAACTCTATGTTTAGATGCATATATCCAAATAGATACAGTGGTTTGAAATAATGCATTTTATGTCTACCGACATACATATTTTTATGCAACTTTTTTATGCAAGATTTTTATTTTATTTTATGTTTTTGTCGTGTCAGGAGCGACTTGAGAAACTGCAAGTCACTTCTGGTGACTTGGATTGGATTACAACATTCAGAATTGGATTACAGATTGGATCACAACATTCAGAAAATTAGGAATATTGCAATGTAACTGTGTTCCAATCTGTGTGCAAGTGGGTTTAGTAAATACATAGGTTTAGTACATTTGCACTGAAATGAGCAATCAATAATCTTTTCAACCATCCCAAACCAGTTACATATTTAATAGGATTCAGAGTGGTTGATACCCTTCAGCCAATCCTGCTTGTTTCACATGGCCAAAAGGGCTAAGCCGTCACGTTTTTCCATCCATATCTGGACCACATGGTTACCAGTCACGGTTCCTCCTCCCCTATTTGACATCACAGCTGCATCCTGGCTTCAGTGTATTTTTTGGCTTGGCTTCTGGCTTGGCCTCTCTCTTGAATCATTTTGATTTTTCTTTATTTTCTTGATTCTTTTTATTTAGTAAGACTGACAGCGAGTTGGGAACATGCAGGACAAGTGGGTGGGATGCTTGCACATTTGGGGCTTGGAGAGAAAAGAGAGGGCTTTTTAAAAGAAGCCCAGTGTAGGACAGCTCCAGGTGATTGCTCTTCCTTCTCTGGAAAGTGGGGAAGCCTCCTTAAAATGGAAAGCTGTGTGCTGCAGGGAGAGAGCAGAGTGTGCTGCCTATCTTCTCTAGAGTAAAAACAGCTTCAACTAAGCATTAAACCCGTTCTCCTCTACAGACAGAAAGAAAAGAATCGCAGAAAGAGTGGCATCTTAACTCTGATGCTTTTAATCCAGGTCTTAATGTAGGATAAAAGACCAAACAATGCCATTGCCTAAAATGACTGGCAGCCCAGAGACCCCCCCCCCCCCCCCCCCCCCCCTTGCTCCCAATCGGCTGGATCTGGCTGTATTTTCCAGCTACGGTACAAATATGGCTATCCAGCTACCCAGTATCCGGCCAGCAGAAATGGATCAAGGTTCAGCTGAAATGCACAAACCTCATATTTCGTAAGTTCACCCTCCGAAGATCTTAGTTTTGCTTTGTGGTTTTTGAGGCTTTGATGTACTTACTTAGGCAATCCCTCGTTGGACTAGTAGGATAGTCTTCCAGGATCAGTATTCTGATGGGTCCGTAGGCGACTGTGGAGCCCTATTCTTGATCTGCATCTTCTCCTGCAGTGAGGACATTGGTTTCCAGATGGAAGGCGGTCCTGGTCGGGGTTGGCTTGACACGCCTTCCTCTTGGCATGTTTCTCTCTTTCACCCTCCATTTGTGCCTCTTCAAAATCTGCAGCACTGCTGGTCACAGCTGACATCCAACTGGAGTGCTCAAGGGCCAGGGCTTCCCAGTTTTTCAGCGTTTTTAAGGTTGGCTCTGAGCCCATCTTTAAATCTCTTTTCCTGTCCACCAACATTCCGTTTTCCGTTCTTGAGTTTGGAGTAGAGCAACTGCTTTGGGAGACGGTGGTCGGGCATCCAGACAACGTGGCCAGTCCAGCGGAGTTGATGGCGGAGGACCATCGCTTCAATGCTGGTGGTCTTTGCTTCTTCCAGCATGCTGACGTTTATCCGCCTGTCTTCCAAAGAGATTTGCAGAATTTTCCAGAGGCAAATGTAAAGTTGTTTAGTAAGCTGAACCTAAACTTGTGGATTTGAAATAACTAAATGTTCTTTCACTTTACAGGTTTGCCTTTCTTCACCTCTGTTTTTCTGGTTTTTCCCGTACAAGAGGTTCTTGTACAGCCTTTGGGACAGAGTCCTCTTATATCTGTAAAACATTATGCATTCTGAGGTCACAACATTAATTAACCAAAAAACATGGGCAAACGTTTTCCCTCCAGGTGTTTTGGACTTACTCCCACAATTCCTCACAGTGTACCGACTGTTAGGAATTGTGGGAGTTGAAGTCCAAGACACCTGGAGGGCCAAAGTTTGCCCATGTCTGGTGTAAACTATGGGCAGAGACCTGTCCTCCTTATAAAGCACTAAGCACTCTGATGACATCACATCAATCAATTAAAAAACAGCAGACACAGTATACACAATGAACACAACACTACAAAATGAAATCAGACTTTTATTTTATGCATAAACAATTTGAAGGGAGAAAAGGGAGCAAAAATAAGATAAAAGATAAATCTTCAGGAAGATTTCTATGAATAATACACAGCAAGCAACTTCAGTTAGACCTGACAGCCCAAAAGCGTCAATGAATATGTCAATCGGTCTAAGTCATTGCATAGGTTCTGAAATTCTTCATCTTGGCATTCATCCTCACTTGGCCACCTCTCAATCCAGGTATCTTTGCTTATAAGGTAGTAAAAACTGGAAAAGAGCAAAAGAGCAGAGTTCTGAATCTTTGTACAAAGCTAGATCCCTTTCACTCATCGACAATATATAGTCGTATTGATGCAGCCTAGAATCACATTCGCCTTGTTTGCTGCAGCATCACACTCTTGGCTCATCCTCACTTTGACTCCTAAATCCCTTCCCCATTGGTCAAGCCAGGCCTCACTCATCTATAATATATATTTGTATTGATGCCCTCCTAGAATGGCCTTGGCCCTTTTTGCTGCAGCATCACACTCCTGGCTCAAATCCAGCTTGACTCCTAGATCCCTTTCCCATTGATCAAGCCAGGGCTCGCTTGTCTATAATATATATTTGTATTGATATCTTCCTCTTCACTGGGCCAGAGTGAAGAGAGAGGAGGCCAGGGGACAATTCCATCTTGTCTCCTATGCTATGCTAATAATATAATATAATATAATATAATATAATATAATATAATATAATATAATATAATATAATATAATATAATATTTATAATATTATAATGTAATTCAATATAATACTAATAATAATAATATAGTATAATTATATATTTATATTACATGTCCAACTCTGTTACTCTTTCCCACCTGCTACTAAGGAGGCTGTCCAAGTCCTGAACCGGTGCTTGGCCGCTGTAACAGACTGGATGAGGGCTAACAGATTGAAACTAAATCCAGACAAGACAGAGGTACTCCTGGTCAGTTGAAAGGCCGAACAGGGCATAGGGTTACAGCCTGTGCTCGACGGGGTTACACTCACCCTGAAGGCGCAGGTTCGCAGCTTGGGAGTGATCCTGGACTCATCACTGAGCCTGGAACCCCAGGTCTCGGCGGTGGCCAGGAGAGCTTTTGCACAATTAAAACTTGTGCACCAGCTGCACCCGTACCTTGGGAAGTCTGACTTGGCCACGGTGGTACATGCTCTGGTTACATCCTGTATAGACTTCTACAACGCTCTCTACATGGGGTTGCCTCTGAAGACTGCCCGGAAGCTACAGCTAGTACAACGAGCGGCAGCCAGATTACTAACAGGAGCGGGGTACAGGGAGCATACTACTCCTCTGTTGCGCCAGCTCCACTGGCTGCCAATCAGCTTCCGAGCACAATTCAAAGTGCTGGTGTTGACCTATAAATCCCTAAACGGCTCTGGGCCAGTTTACCTGTCCGAACGGATTCTCCCCTATGAACCATCAAGGTTGTTAAGATCTTCTGGAGGGGCCCTGCTCTCGGTCCCACCGCCTTCGCAATCGCGTTTGGTGGGGACGAGGGACAGGGCCTTTTCGGTGGTGGCCCCTCGGCTTTGGAACTCCCTCCCGATGGAGATTAGATCTGCCTCTTCCCTCCTGACATTTAGAAAGCAGGTAAAAACATGGCTTTGGGATACTGCATTCGCAGAATGATGACTGAGTCAATAACTGCTGACCTTTCTGGCGGATGGCGATGAATTTGTGATTCTTTTGGATGAACTGATTTTTGCTGTAATTTGTATGAATTGTATGAAGTGTATTTTAATGTATTTTATATTGATGACCTATAATGTTTTTCTTATTGTATTGAATTTTATGTTGTTAGCCGGCCTGAGTCCCTCCCCGGATATAAAAGACCGGGATATAAAAACTCTAATATTACAATATAATGATATAGTACAATATAGTAATATTTAATACTGATATTGTACTATGCTAATAATATGATATATTGTATGTATATATATCTTGTAAGTCGCTCTGAGTCCCCTTCAGGGTGAGAAGGGCGGCATATAAACGTCGTAAATAAATAAATAAATAAATATACCGGTTAACTGTGAAAAGAAGGAGAGTTGTGCACAGAACCCTTTTCCTTCGTTCCATCTGTTCTTTCATTACTTTTTGTTACCTTCGGCAGCACGTAACGGGAATCCCCCCCCTTTACGAAAATCAGCTTGACACAAAAGCAAGCGAGAGGTGATCATCAGCTCACCCTCTACTTTTGTGAGCACTTGGTGCTCCATGCCCCTTGCCTTGGAAAGAGTGGTTATGTGGCGTGCAGGCCCAGTGTGTGCGTCTACCTGCAGCTGAATGCCTCCTCTGGAGTAAGAACGTCAGCACTTGCCTCCTTGCCTTGAGAGACTGCATGTGTGGCCTGCAGGCCCAGTGCATAATATCCCCCCCCCCATTTTGGGTGGTTCCCAAAATATGGATCAGGGCCCCCCACTGAAAGCTGGGACACAAAATGGGTCACGGTTCACCGTGAAAGCACAACACTACTACCAAGGCTAGACTGAAATGACCAAGGTCAGCCACTTCACACACCTTGAAATTGCCAGGTTTTATTTTGGCTGTATTTTTAGGTAGCTTGGTGAGAAAACCAAGGCATTTAGAATTCTAATGAATTGAAAATGCCTATTGACTCAGGGACGCTTGAAAGTTTTTGGAGGACCTAAGCACTATTGTATTTTATTACTAGCTTGTCCCACTAGGGACAGAGAGACATCATTCCAAGAGCTGTTCTATTGACCCCTATGAGCTTTAAAACATCCATATATTTTAAAATTCATAAATAAAAATATTTATTTAGAATTGTTTTCTTTCCAACTCCTATATTTTCCATCAGTTCTCTTTTTTGTAGTTCTGTTTTTTCTGTGTCCTAGGTACCTAATATGTTCCAAGAAAATGTCAGGTGTAACCATATGAGGTGATATCTCCTCTTGGATTATTGTTGGCCTTTTCAAACTTACAGTGCAACTTTTCACAATGTTTAAAGGGCTCCAATGGTAAAAAGCCCAATAATAATAAACAGCAAAATAAATAAAAGCTAAGTATACATCTACTAAATCAATGAAATGAAACACATACTCTTTCTTTGCAGGCCACAAGTCATCGCTGAGGCCCCAGATCAGATAGTCCTTATTCTCCTGCAGATTCAGAGTTTCCCTGCATTTCATCTGGCTGATAAACTTGCGAGGACTCACTTTTGGATTTGGATCAGTCCCTGGAGAAATCAGACAAAACAAAGAAAATACTTGGATCAGAGCTGTGAGCCAGTTCACCATTTTAACTGACTGATACATTGGGTAATAGACGACATGGGATCAGGGAAGGAATCATTGACCATCTTGTCCTGATGGCCAAATGTCCCAAATCTTTAGGTTGCATACAAATGCAACCTGAGCCCTGCCACATGCACAATGGAGGACCTTCAAGTGGCCAGATACTGGTCAAAGGACATTTAATCAACTACCAAGCTTGCAAACTTTGTGTTTTGTCTGTTTGTTTGTTTAAAAATGTAATACAACTTTCTGGTTGCTCCTGACACGATAAATAATAATAATAATAATAATAATAATAATAATAATAATAATAATAATAAATAATAATCTGATTGATTTCAACAATCCTGAAAAGTTGGGGAACAGGTACAGCAACCATATTTCTCCTTTTGTTTTTTTCCCTCAGTTAAGGAAGCCATAGCTTTGAGCTTGCAAGACCTGAGCTAGAAAGTTGTTGCCCGGGGCTCTTTGAGCTTTCTCATTTATGAGTTGCCAGAAATCAAAGCTGACTTGACAGCATATAACACCAACAAATACAAGACTGCAAAGCAATAGCAGTTTTTAGAAAATATTCCTGCTTTCATATCCAGTATGTCATTTCCTACAAAATCCCCCTTTTTACCTTCTTTAATCTTTTCCAGGACTTGCATGAAGTAGTAGTCATAGCCATTTTCCTCTTCTATTCGAACCAGCTTGGCTTTGTATACTTTAAAACAGAGAAAATTTAAGATGTTTAGATGCTATTCTTCCCAAAAGCCTAAACTCCTTCAGACATAGTTGTTGGTGCTGATGGTGATATTATATAAAGATAAGCAATCTCATTGCATGTTGACACTGGTAAATCCAAAGTAGACCTAATTCTCCAATACATTATTTGATTTGCTTCTCATCATGGGAAGCCCAAAATACACCAATAGGCAACAATGAATTAGAGCAATCAGTAAAATGTGAATCAGTAAAATGTGAAGCAGTTGCCCCAGATTGTGAGTTTGGGACAGTGTGTGCTGCCTACTTGCATTCTAACTGAGCTATTGCCTCATTAACAGGGTTCAGCCATCTAGGATACACTCACCATAATCCACTCCTGATTTGCAGGCCAGTTGACCTCGTTCCAGCAGACTGAAATCTTCCTTTATATTGTTGATCAAGGAGCAGCTTTCTTTGGGAGAAGAGCACAAAGGAAGGAGGGAAAATAGAAAGAAAACCACTTGGACAAGATCCCTGGAAGACCCTCTTTGTGTCTGAGGGTATCACAAGTCACACATTGTTAGAGCAAATGGGTTTTAACCTCAAAAATACTATTAGAGTATACAAGAAACAATATTTGATTTTGCCATTTTATATAAGTGAGTCCATTTAATTATGCCATTGTTTATGATCATCCGTGGGTTTAAGCATCTACAGAACACATGCCTGCGGGCCAAATCTAGCCTGCCATGTAACCTTATGTGACTCTCCAGATACTGGACTACACTCCTGTACCATTTATCATTAGACATATGACAAGAGCTGATGAGAGTTGTGATACAGGGTGAAGGCTGCAGTTTGTTCTGTTTAGTCAGGAAAGTGTGGTTTGAATTTAGACTTGTAGACAGGATGTCTGACTTTAAGGACCTTATCAGAGGCATCATTGAGTTATGAGGGTTGAATGAAAAGTAATGCCTTCACCTTCATTACTTGGGTTTGGATGGGAATATTTTAATAAACGCAGAAATAATCCTTAGAATGTGCTCTTTAACTACCACTATTCACTTTTCCACATAGTCACCAGACAATTGGATACATTTCTGCCAATGATGAACAAGTTTTCTGAAGCTATCACGGAAGAAGTCAACACTCTGTTTCCGCAACCAGCATCTCACAGTTCTCTCAACGTCATCATCAGAAGCATAATGGTGTCCCCGCAGATCTTCTTTCATAATCGGGAACAGAGGGAAGTCAGATGGTGCTAAATCTGGACTGTATGGAGGATGTCGTATGGTGGTAAGATCCAGTCTCTTAAGTTTCAAGTCTGTGCACTTTCATTTCAGGCGTCAGCATCCTGGGTACCCATCGTGCACAGATCTTCCAATAGACAAGCAAAGCAATAATGTGACCCACATGTTCTTGTAAAATGCCAATTATGTAAAATGTCAATTTCTCTCTGAGTAATACGACGATCATCCTGAATCAGTCTGTCAATCCTTTGCTTGTGAAACTCGGTGGTTGCTATCACAGGATATCCAACTCTTTGTTTGTCACCCAAGGCAGATGTTCCCACCTCAACATCTTTAACCTTACTTGCCCAACGACGCACACTGCTCACATCAACACAATCACCATAAACAGCTTGCATTCTCTGATGAATCTCCTTTGGGGTGACCTTCTGCTGTCAAGAATTCAATGTCTGAATGTTGCTTAAGTAGCATTGACCGACCGTCTGTGCAGGGTTCCATACTTCCCACTTTAACAACACAACCATTCAATGCTAAGACTTCCTGCCAAAATGGAACTGTAGAGGAGAGTCTACTGAATAAGCCAGTACCTGCCACATACCAGTACTGCCATCTGTTGAGGAGTTACAAAGGTGGAGGCATTACTTTTCATTCAGCCATCATAAGTAAAGAATCGGGAGCTGATCGTACCTTCCAGTCCTCCCTCACCCATTTTCATTTGTTCTCCTCCCATCAGACTTTTAGTGTTTCCCCCGTCGACACCTGCTATCTTCCTCATCATACACAGGCAATAAGTCTCCACCCCCAGCTTTTTTTCTTCATGAAAATCTGCCAGAATCCCTTTCCATGGGATGCAATAGTTCTGCATCTGAACCCATTGGACCCTTGAAATAGGGATGCTGTTTTGAACCACCTTTTCATAGGAAGGTGTAATCATGCATTTCTATAAGCAGAGATTACAGTTCACTGCTAAGCACAGTATTATAAGTGGAACAAACCAGAAAAGGAAAACTGCCTGTTCTCTGATTTACAATGCCTCTATTATGCTATATCCATCATTAATATTTTTTTAAAAAAATAAATCTTTGAAGGGAAGAAGTTTCTAAGCCCTTTCATAAAAAGCGATGACAACTTGCTGCTAAGGGCAGCTTGTTGATAAAGACCACCCATCCGAATGCCCGTTTTCACTATGGCAAGCTCTGAAACAGAACGGAGACTGTCAGAGACCCCGTCACATGTTGTTTTGAGCCAAAATAACGGGTCTTTAGTGCTATTTTGTGTAAATTCACAATCTCTCCCCATGATTACTGATCTGCCCAATATTACAATTACTTTGTAGTTGTTCTSTGATGGGGGGAGAAGCAATGACCAAAGTAATCTGATGGCAGCCGTGACTCCCAGTAAATKTATGGTGGCTGYCTGTATAATGGGAAAGGCRGTACTGTAAGTATGATGARATGGTAAAATAKCTCACCTGCCAGTCACCCTGCCAGTCTTAAGAACTTGAAGAATGAGTCAGGCCRTCCGCAAAACCTCAACTTGCTCTAAAATAATGCTATGTCAGTTAAAAATAAAGCACACATCATCTATGATCTCYTCAAGGATAAGGGGCTGACCTGGCATGCTTCCAGGCTCCTCCGGCTRGGTACTGTGTTAGTGAGCAAGTGAATGGGGGCRGGGGGATCTGTGGTCTATAAAAATCATCTGAACCTGACCAGATTCCCTACAAGGGAAGTAAGTGTGTATATCAGGGTGTATATCAGGGTCTGAAAACCAGGGGTAGATTAGGATTTCCATTAGTGTACTCTCCACCCCTCTATCTATCAGATTCACTGGCCGAGCTCACAGAACTAGTCTCAGAGGGGTTGTTGGACTCACCCAGACTTTTGCTTCTGGGTGACTCAACTTACCACTGGAGGCCTATTTGTCATGTGCAGCTCAGGAATTCATGGTATCCATGACAAATGTGGGCTTATCCTAATTGGTTTCTGTACCTATGTACTCAACAAATCATACAATCAATTTAAATATTCAGCTCGGAATATATGGATCTATAAAAGGAGGTGACCAATACCTCCTAGTTGTCATGAACAGATCACTTTCTGGTCAGGGTTAGTAGTACCAATTAATATAGTACACCCTCAAGGGCTAATGAATTGTTTGCAATTTTTGAAATGTTGGATGATTGTTGTTGAGGCACAATGTTGTGCCATTGTAAGCCGCCTTGAGTCCCCCTGTCAGGGTAGAGAAGGGCGGGGTACACGTATGGCAAATAAATAAATGAATAAGTACATCCAGAATCACAGTCTCTGAAGTAGAAAATACAAAAAATTCATTTTTCAGATTTCCATATATTTACTTTAAAAGTAAATACTGCTTCTGAGTGAGAAGAAGTACTATCTTCCCATCTCATCTTACCTTCTGCACACCGGCAAATATCACCATGGCATATCTTGCTAAGGAGGTAACTTTCTTTGGGCAGATTATAGAACTTGATGCACTGCTCGTCTGAAAAGGAACAATGAAAATCGATGCCTTTCTTCATATGGAGGATCCGGTACACTTTGGGAAATTCCCACAAAGAGAAAGCTAGGGAGTGGGAGGACCTATTGCTCCCAGTGGTATATTAGTAACTTATCACTGTGGTTTTATGTAATGGGAATCCAAATTTTCGGTTGGTTGTCTCCACAAGGCAACAGGTTGGACTGGATGGTCCTTGTGATCTCTTCCAACTCTATGATTCAATAAGAGATCAGGCAGATTCTTTCAGCAATCTTTAGATAAGAAAGAGCAGTAGACCAGCCAGCATCTCCTTCAATGGAGAGGCACCCTCTTTTTTTGGATCATGTTGTGTTCTGGCACCCAGAAAAAAAATATTTTGTAATGGCTACTATGTAACTGGGTAGACTGACATTAGGTTTCGGTCCAAAGTTTTAAGAGCTTGTGAGAGGAAGGTTTCATCAAGTTTTGTTAAGACCAGGGAAAATGACTTTGAAGACCAGACTGAAACCTTCAGAGTTCACCAGCCAGCCCTCCCTGGCTCCAAGGGATTTTGGCAATGGAGTGCAAGGCAAATCACTGAGGCTTTCCCATCCTGCCTCCACAAACCAAGGCAGAACTCTCTTTCCAACACCCACATGTCAGTAGCTTTCTTCTGACCTCCTTGTGTCCACAAAACCACTGTGCTAAAGCAGAGGAAACCAGAAAATAGGTTATCGTGTCCTGTTTTTGTTTCCTCCCCTTGGATAGAGTGGTGTCTTTGGGCAACAAAGTTTTCTTGTTATGAATGCTACTCTCTGGATTTATATACCAGGGGGCCAGGGGGTGGGAGTGGGGAGGACTGTCAGAAATATCTCAAGACACAATTTGCAAAAGTCCGAACTGGGCTCCGTGCTATCTAGCTCCTGTGTTGAGACCACTGGAAGAAGTGTGATAGCCATTACCTAGATTATAATAGCTGTACACCTTCACGGATGCTGGCTGAATGAGACCGACTTCAAAAAACTGGTGAGCTCTAAAGTGCACACATTCATCATTTGAATGAGAGACCTGGGATGGAAAAAGAAACAAGACTTTCTGTAACAATGAAGGCGTTTTCTTCCATTACAGATTCCCTAAGCTATCTTGAGGAAAAACTCTATCATTTTTGTTCAGAGTGTGGGTGTTCATATTTGACAGGTCAGTTCAGTAATCAGATTCAACCTTGCCAACAGGATTCTGTCAAACAAGGGAAGCAGCACTGAGCCTGGCATTTTGGGGAAATATTGTGTCCCACCAAGTGTTTACTTTCCTAATTGTTAGCAGGCCCCACTATGAAAGGAGAGGGTAATGTGTGTTCATATATGAATCTCAGTTTTAATAATAATAATAATAATAATAATAATAATAATAATAATAATAATAATAAATAAGCTTTATTTATTATTATTATTATAAATAATAAATTATTATTATTTATAATAATAATTCAATATAATAATAATTTATAATTCAAGACAATTCTCTAACTTCTTGCTTTTTTAGAAATGGGGGGGAGCTCGAAACACTGAGAATTTGGCTGTAACTACTCCATAACTAACATGTTCTAGCCTATTCAGGTACAACTGCCCCGAAGGGACTCAGGGCAGCTCACAAAGGCACTCCAGAGTGCTGCACATAAAATACACAATACAAAAGCATATAAACAATAACAACATAAGATTATAACGACAAACATACATAAAACATATAATAAAATTTTAAAATTCATAAAATGTAGTAGTATCTGTGGATAAAATTGGCTGTTTTCGATTAACTAAATCCTCAGTCAGGCCCATAGCTAGGATTTCAATTTGGGGGGGAGCTAAGTTTGTTTTGGGGGGGGGCTGAGTCTGAGTGAAAGAGGGTCTACCCTAGCAAACCTTTTGTATCGTTACCCCAATACCCCCATGCATATGGGATATATTGAGTATGGTGATCAGATCATGATATGAATAAACATAACAGTTTAAATAATAGACCAGTAAGGCCTTTTCGCGAGCCACCATGAGAATTTGGGGGGGGGGGGCTGAAGCCCCTTAAGCCCCCCACCCACCCAGCTACATGCCTGTCCTCAGTCTAAGCATTAAAATCTACACAAGGTCAAAGGCCCATTTAAAAAGCCATGTTTTTAGACTAGACTGAAAAACTTAGAGAGTGGGGGCTAACCTAATCTCTTCAGGGATTTTAAAGAAAAAGACCAGATAAATATTCAATAAATGAATAATATTCCTAAGCACTAGATGATCTACAATTGCTTGACTGGCATTGCTACAAAGTGGAGTCCACAACATGCGAGTGTGAAGAAGAGCAAACCACAGACCACCTACTACAATGCCACCTGAGTCCTGCCACATGCACAATGTACCTTCTGACAGTAACACCAGAGGCGCTCCAAGTGGCCAGCTACTGGTTAAAGGACATTTAGTATAATTTACAAAGTTTTTAACTTTGTTTATGTTTTTAAATACATTACAACTATATCCTCAATTCGCTTCTGACATGATAGAGATAAATATTGCCAGATTTTTTTTATCATTGTTCCTGAACAATGAAAGTGTCTCCATAATAGGGAAAGTTCAGAGGTTGGTCAAGGTAGCCAATATTTACATATTATGGTGACAGCTTGGGTTAGTACTTAGATGACAGGCCACCAAAAATATCAAATGCTGAAGGCTGTATTTCAGATGAAGAACCTGGCTAACCCCCTTTGTATAAGAAATCCCTGGAAAATTAATGGGGCTGCAGTAAGTCAACAGGAATATTGAAGGCACAGATACTTTCTCACTTTATACAGAGTTTGATGCAATTAGAGATGCCTTGTGAAGTCAAAATGCTTATTGGGACATTTTGAGTAGAGAAAAATATATTTAAAATGTACGAATTCATCCCAGAGTTTCCTTTTTATAACTCCCAAAACCTCACAGCTGGGAAGGATGGTGACCATGGTGTTTGGGAGACTCTGGGAACTGCAGTTTTAAAAAGTAACATTTTTTTCCAATTCTGACTCTTTCATTGACTTAATTTTTAATCTTTGCCGTAACACACACACAATTCCTGCCTAGCTGTGTTTATAAGAACTATTCCAGCATTACCTTGTCCAAGTAAATGATAAGATTCCCCCTTTCGGCGTAGCCAATTTCATACTTGGCGATAAATTTGTCGACTCTTTTAGAAAGCTAAACATTTGGAAAAAATACAAGGGACATTTATTTATTATTTATTTATTTACTGCATTTGTTGACCGCCGTTCTCAGCCCTAGGGCGACTCACGGCGGTGTACAACATATAAAAACAGTTTACAATAAGGGAATATCACAACAAAATATCAACATGACTATCACTAATACAATCACACTAAATCATCCGCGCCGTCTCATCGTAGAATCATAAACCAATCTCGTTATCCATATTCCGTTCCAATCATCATTGCCAATTGTTGTAGCACTTAGTCAAACGCCTTCTCAAATAACCATGTCTTTAGGCTCTTGCGGAATGTCATAAGGGAGGGCGCCTGTCTGATGTCTACAGGGAGGGCGTTCCACAGCCGGGGGGCCACCACCGAGAAGGCCCTATCCCTCGTCCCTGCCAGGCGTGCCTGTGAGGCAGGCGGGATCGAGAGAAGGGCCTCCCCAGACGATCTCAAAGTCCTCGTGGGCTCATAGGCCGAGATGCGGTCAGACAGGTATTTTGGGCCGGAACCGTTTAGGGCTTTGTAGGCCAACACCAGCACCTTGAATTGGGCCCGGTAGCAGATCGGCAGCCAGTGGAGCTGGAACAACAAGGGCGTTGTGTGCTCCCTGCGTCCCGCTCCTGTTAGTAACATGGCTGCTGCGCGCTGGACTAGCTGAAGCTTCCGGGCCGTCTTCCAGGGCAGCCCCACGTAGAGAGCGTTGCAGTAGTCAAGGCGGGATGTGACCAGAGCGTGTACTACCGTGGCCAAGTCAGACTTCCCGAGGTACGGGCGCAGCTGGCGCACGAGCCTGAGCTGTGCAAATGCTCCCCTGGTCACCGCTGACATTGTTGTTATGTGGCACAGAACAGAATTGGCTTTTCATTTCATAAAAATTAAAGGAAGACTTTTAATTATATCTGCTATTACTCTTGCTTTTCCAGATTTGGATGAGGCTGCTTTGTTTCTAATGGGTCTTGAAGGGTGATGCAAAACTTGAAGCAAGACTTTGTCAGTTTTGGTCACAAAGCTCTTCTCCAAGATTATCTCTGGTTAAAGACATAGAAAACATTCTGCATGTGTTCAAGCTAAATTAATTCCCATACTGAGGATATTACTGCGTGCTTCGGCTGTGCTGGTGGGCAGCATAATTTAGCCCTCCTTCTGTGTTGCTCCCCCCGCTTCACTTTGTTTTTTATTGTTTTTTATTCTTAAGGCACTTTATAATTGCAAAGTACTTGCAGGAACCTTGATGTGATTTAGCAATTAGGTTCCAGAACCCTGATGGTCGTGACATGGAGAGATGGCCAACCAACAATGGGTATCACAGAACATTGTGTGATGGGGTTAGAAAAAGTGCTCTCCTCCCTATACATTTGGGCACCTTCCCTATCCCTAAAGAGAAGTCCTTTTTAGATAAAAATGCTTCAGCATTGAATCTATGTGAAAATACAGTTTTATTTATTTATTTATTTATTTATTTATTTTATTTACAGCTTTTATATTCCGCCCTTCTCACCCCGCAGGGAACTCAGGGCGGATTACAGTGTACACATATATGGCAAACATTCAATGCCAATTTTTGACGTAGAAACATATACAGACATACACAGAGGCTATTTAACTGGCCGCCAGGGGAGCTGTCGCTTTCATCGTCCATCTGCGATGCTGATGAAGCACTTCCGCATTCCCCGCATGCTTCCCCACTTGAATGTTTTGCTGGAGTCTTCTTTATGGCCTCATAAATCAGTTAATTTAGCCTCCCCACACTTTTAAGGTGGGACCTTATTTTCCTACTTGACATATGCAACTGTCTTTCGGGTTGCAAAGTTCGACAACAGGCTACACACAATTGGTTGGAAACCCACTCCAACCCGGGCTGGCTTCGAACTCATGACCTTTCGGTCAGAGTGATCTTAATGCAGCTGACACTCAGCCAGCTGTGCCACAATCCCGGTGCTTATTTGTGATAACAAATGGGGAATGACTATGAAAGTCATGATGAGATACCTAAAGGGCACATAGATATAGCTGAGCCATAATCATGTAAGGTTTATGACAAGGGGTTACATCAGTCAATTGTCCCTTACTGATGACAAGTCGTTATAAAAGGAAGATGAAATGCTCAATCTCTCGCTTCCTTTGTGTATCTTGTTGTGAGTATCTCTGTGTATGACTCTCTTTGTAAGTACAAATCTGGTTGTGGATCTGCGTATCCTGATTGAGTGGCTGTAAATAGTGCAAGGTGAAGATTAAAACCTCCTGATATTTTAGGATGAAAACACTGAATATTTCCAGTTTACTAAACAGTCTGTGGAGAAGGTCAGACATTGCAGCTGACCAGCTGGCAGAGTAATAGAGTCTTTTGATGTGAGTGAACTCTGCTATGTTTTGCTTGCCTCTGTGGCACTTGTTTGTCCAGTGTGCAGTGGTTCTAAGAAGGTCATGATTGGAAGACTATAAGCCACTTAATGAACCTAACCCACAACAGTCCCCGCTTCTATATCAGGCCTCCCTTCTCTCTTCTCACTAAATAATAGAAAATTATACGTACTATAAAATTACAGAGATAATAAAATGGATTATTAATGTGAGATAGTTGTGTGTTATAACCAACAGACAAAGGTAATCACCTGCTTCTTTTGATAGGAGTATAAAATTAAAAAGGGGAAATAAAAATCTAATAGTTTTCAGATTGTTCTCAGTTTGATTGATTAGCTTATTATGACTAAACAGGAGGTGGCAGGAGAGTACTCTGCCTTTCTTCAGGTTTGTTGTTATTTATTTACTCCATTTATATGCCACTTTTCTCAGCCCTTGGGCGACTCAAAGTGGTTGACAATAGCAAAATTCAATGCTCAACATCATAAAAACAGTTAAAAACAATTAAAACAATGGAATAATAAACAATCAATTAAACATCAATATAACATCTCATTAGCATCTCATAGGTAGAATCAAGATCCAATCTCATCATCCATTGTTCCATATTCCTATATTCATTACACTGCCTATTCAAATGCCTGCTCGAACAACCCGGTCTTCACTTTCCTCCAGAATGCTAATAGGGAGGGGGGCCATCTAATTTCTGTAGGAAGGGTGTTCCACAGCCGAGGGGCCACCACTGAGAAGGCCCTGTCTCTCGTCCCAACCAGACATACTTGTGATGCAGGCAGGACCGAGAGCAGGGTCTCCCCAGATGATCTTAACGTCCTAACTGGTTCATAGGAGGAGATGCGTTCGGACAGGTAAGTTGGGCCAGAACCATTTAGGGCTTTATAGGCTAATGCCAGCACTTTGAATTGTGCCCGATAGCAAACTGGCAGCCAGTGGAGCTGGCGCTTCCTGAGCGCCGCTCCTGTCAGTATCATAGCTGCCAAACATTGGACCATTTGAAGCTTCCAAACAGTCTTCAAAGGCAACCCCACGTAGTTATTGTTGTTGTTTTTGCTGCTGCTGATGCTGCTAAGTTTACTAATTTTCCCTAGAAAGGGGTGGCATTTTCCATGAAGGTCGAATATTTACTTCCAGTATCTTTGAACTTTCTTTTGTTTTGGGGTGATATTTTAAGGTGAGAATTAGAACTTTATGACAATGAGCTCATATGCCCTCAAGAACTGTTGAGCCAAGATCTCTTTCTCTGAGAGCCAAGATCTCTTTCTCTTTGGCTCTCTTTCTCAGAGCCAAAGAACTCTGCAGTCTGCCATCTTTGCACAGTCTCCGAAATATTGACTAGTATCATTTTCAGGAGTTACGAAAGTATAAAGGATGACTTATGATACTCCACATTTCAAATCTTGAACAACTGAGCAGCATCCTAAAACCTTATTTTTCAAGGTTGCCAATGAGCCAACCAAACTGTTTCAGAGGCACTGAAGATTGAAGTGCTGGAGAATGAGATCTGCAGTGCTTTCTTGGTTGCAAACTGCATTCTGACAAGCAATTCTAGCAGGAGCCCAAGAGCAAACTCTCCGGTATCCCAGTTTTGACATGTTCTGTGACCAGTAGGGTACTGGAGGCATTGCTGTCCAGTGTCGCACTCTCCAGTGCTTCAGAAATGTTTCAGCTAGAGTGCTGCTGGACTGGGGAAAAGTATTTTTGAGGGAAGAGAGATAATGTCCGATGTAATTATCATATTGGAGCTTTGTAATTGTAATTATGTTGACAATCATTATTGAAGCAATCATTTGCTCTTTCTGTACAAAATCTTATTTTCTGCACAGAAAAACTGTGTTTAGATGCTGCTTTTTGTGTGAGAAACTTGTTTTCTGTCCAGAAAATTACATCTTCTGTGCAAAATAACTTGATGCAATTTCTTTTAGCAAAGAATAGTTGTCACATTATGAAATAATATCTGAAAACCATACCAGTTTCGACTACTTTCCCACAGTAATGAGAAAATGAGTACAGTTATTATTGCATTGAAGAATGTAGTTTATGAAAATGTGCACCCCAATGACAGACTGTATATCCACTGCATATTCCCTGCTGGTCCAGGCCCATCTATAGTGCAATCAAATGAATAAATAAGAATGTATAATGAAAGACCATTGTAAGGAATTATCTGCAGCACTAGCTTGGATAAATTATGGTATTTGAAAATAATCCTAACCCTATCTTGTTCTGGAATTCCATGGTCAAAATATTTAATCAACTGCAGGGATTTTCTCCTTTTTCTAGCCCAATAGATTCAAAGGATGAGTTAAGTAGCCATTTCCAGCATATGAGAAGTCTCACTTACCCCATTAAGGTCATTAATGTCAGGTGCAAAACCAGTGAGCATGGAGACATCAATGATGGACATTGTGGCATCAACATTACCAAGATACCTAAAATCAGGAGCATAGAAACAATGGTTCAGGAAGTGTTTACAATGGATCTAGTTTCAGGTCTTTGATTCTTTTTGAAAGGTGAAAAGTGAGATCTAGCACATGTTTATTGTCCAATGCCTATGGAATCACTAAGACATCTGCCCTTGATTACCTAACAATTCTTGTAAAGACTCATAAAATTCTTGTAAAGACTCCTCCATTGTAAATTAAAATCCTCTAGATATGGTGGACTGCAATGCCCCTAAGCCTTAAGCATATAGTTCAGTAACAAGAGATGATAAGGGCTGTAATTTGCCAACACTTGGAGGCAGGGCCGTAGCCAGGAAAAAAATTGGGGGGGGGGGGGGGGGGGGAGGGTTGAAACTTTTTTTAGCAAATCATGAAGAGTAGTTTGATAACACAACAACAACATTTTTAATACAGTTCAAAGACCCTTATTGCTCCGTAAAAGGTATAAGATACAAGGTATGCAAGGTTAATAAGGCCAAAAATAGCCAAAAAAAATAGTTGTTTTTTTAACCTGAAAAAAATTGGGGAGGGGGTTGAATCCCTAACACCACCACCACCACCACCACCACCCCGGTTACAGGTCTGCTTGGAGGGACACACACACACACACATCTGTTCCCTATCAAGGTAAAATGGCGTCATCAGGTGCATAACAAGCATTCAATGTGGAGGTGAAATTTTATTAATTTCTGTTTTAAAAGGATCTACACTGCCAAATAATCCAGATTATCAAAACAGATCATCCATTTTATCTGATTTGAACTGAGTTATATAAATCTTCACTACCATATAATCCAGTTCAAAGCAGATAATCTAGATTTTATAAGGCAGTGTTGCCCTTTGGTTTCTACTATGTTAATCTCCAATCAGTGCAAGCTGAGAGTACGAAATATTCAACTGCTTTGCAAATTAGACTCAACATATCTCAAACTTGTGAGAACAGTTTTGGAAATATTTCATAAGCTATTTACTTGCAAAACAGTAATTTCTACTCCCTTCAGGTGAATCTCTGATATTCTTACCTGGTGCAAATTTTGATCTTGACAATCTGCAGGGATCCCTTTAGCTCCTTCTGACCTAGAAATTGTTAAGACAGACAAGGAAAGAATCACTATTCATGTCACCTCCTTGCAGTAGGAAGCCGGCTATGTGTTCCAGTGGAAAGCCTGGATTGTCCAGAAAGCATTGAAGTCTACATGAAAAAAGGTCACACTCTTTTTCTGAGAACTCAACAATAACGTTCTTCTATCCATATGGGCCAATTTTCACAATATACCCCAAGATCTGTTAAGGACCTACATTCTAATTCATGAAAAAGAGATACTTGCATGCAACTTTGACACTGTCCTTTGTGGCCATTGTGCTACCCCTTTATTTTCTGAACAATTTTGTTCTTCCCATCTTCTTTCTTCTCCTTTCTGTCTGTAAAGAACGCTTACCTTTAGCAGCCAGAATGTGGGCCTAGCGAAGCCCTGGCGGCCATTTTAGATTAGGGAAACAGGGAGACGCCATCTTAGGTCAGGTTTTTTAGAGGGGGCATGTCCCTAGTCCAGTAAGCAAAGAGTAGATGGCCAGGATTGGTAAAGAATAGGGGGCGGGGCCTAGCATTCAAATAGAGGAAAAAGGTGTACTTTTTGAATTTTGGAGGCTTGAGTTTTGGCAGTTGGGATTTGTCAGTTGGGAGTTAGGTAGTTGGCCGGCGTTCACAGTTGGATAGTGCTAGATAGGAGAATTGGGTTAATCTTTTGTAGTATTCAAGGGCTAGAGGAATTAGCCAGGAATACTGACAGTGGGAACAGGACCTTGCTAATAGTCTGTTTCTTTTATTCCTGAGGAAGGCTAGGCCAAGGTTGTTTGGCTAGAATCCAGAAAGTGGGAATTTGGTTTGGAATTATCATCAGAGATTAGTTTCCTGAGATAATCTCCTGTTTGTTAACTCTAAGAATTGTATATCAAACGTAACCAAAAGCTTTTGTGCCATTAACTTACAGAAACCATTACGCATTTGTACCAGAAGAGTTTAAATCTGTTAAATAAATGTTTTATTATAGTTAACATTTTACAACAGCCTGTGTGTGAACGTCATTGGTATTTAAACCCTCTGAAGAAAATAAACACTATAGTAACACAGAAGGGTGTTACTAAGTATCCTCTCCACACATATAACTCAACCTGAATACTAAACAATAAGGTGGCAGCGTACCCAATTGAAGAAGCCTTTAAAAAACCTCATAGTCCAGACATCATTCAAATATATCTTTCCCTGTTTTATCAATTTCCCTCCTGTGATATTCCTTATAAATATGTGAGATTCACTATTTCAGAATTCCCTGTTCCTTCTCCCTGCTAAAAGAAGTTCCTTGGTGTGATATTCATTATAATTGATGGCACACCTGTGTCCCTGAAGGTGAATTTGAAAGCCTTTCCTTATACTGTCCTACACCTCTTTTTGTCCTCTTGCTGCCCTAGTTGAGTTTTTAAATGATGAGATTGTACCCCTGAACCTATACTGCTATCCATCCACTTGTTCCTATATTCATGTTTTCAGACAGAAAATAAACATTACGGGAGTCTCTATTATTGTTGTTGTTCATTTGTTCAATCGCTTCCGACTCTTTGTGACCTCATGGACCAGCCCACGCCAGAGCTCCCTGTCGGCCGTCACCACCTCCAGTTCATTCAGAGTCGTCAGTCACTTCAAAGATACCATCCATTTATCTTTCCTTTGGTCGGCCCCTCTTCCTTTTTCCTTCCCTTTTCCCCAGCATCATTGTCTTCTCTAAGTTTTCCTGTCTTCTCATGATGTGACCATGAGAAAACAGGAAAACTGTATTTGCCATCTTTGCCTCTACTATCCTTCCCTCCAATGAGCAATCAGGCTTTATTTTTTGAAGGATGGACTGATTTGATCTTCTCGTGGTCCAAGGCACTCTCAGCACTTTCCTCCAACACCACAGTTCAAAAGCATCTATCTTCCTTCGCTCAACCTTCCCTATGGTCCAGCTCTCACATCCGTAGGTGTCTATGGGGAATACCATTGCTTTAACTATGTGGATCTTGGTTGACAGTGTGATGTCTCTACTATTCACTATTTTATCGAGATTGGTCAATGCTCTCCTCCCAAGAAGTAAGCGTCTCCTGATTTCCTGGCTGCAGTCTGCGTCTGCAGTAATATTTGCACCTAGAAATACAAAGTCTGTCACTGCCTTCACGTTTTCTCGTTCTATTTGCCAGTTATCAATCAGTCCGGTTGTCACTTTCATTAATCAACTGGATTTTTCAATCACAGCCTGAAATTCTTTAAGGACAAACATAAATATTGGAAGCACAAAAGCTTAAAGGACAAATCTAAAATTGAGAAAAATCAGGAATATGGGGGGTGAGGCATATTCTTCAACACTGTACATATCCCACAGCTTATTACTTTGAAAGCACTGTTCCTAACTGTGCTTTAGTAAAACAAAAAGGCAAAAATCTAACGTTCATTAGAACCTACAATTTTGATCAAAACTGAGTTACTGTTCCGACTTACTCAGCTGGAGGGGTTCAACACTAACATCCAGGGTGAATTTCTTGCATTGAACTTCATCTGTTTTCATCTGTGCATGATACAGTGTCTCAACTGTCATTGTTGCTTTTCCTTGGCCTGAGGCACGCACAGTGAAATTGTCATTGAGTTTGGTCTGAAAGACAATCAGAGTTAGCATGCCCTTATAATGGATTATCTTGGTGTGTTTAATTTTCTTCAAAACTATCATTATTACTGAGATGTTATTATTTTATTTTTATTTTTGACAAACACAAATGTACCCTGCTTTTTGCATAAGTGTAACAGATCCATTTTTAAATACATGGATTTAACACTGCTCCATCAATTTGATCCTGATTGCTTAAATCCAAGTAATAGCTAACAAATAGCTACAAGACTGCCTTCTTGAGTCTACTTTCAATGTGCCCTGAAAATAGAGGCAAAGGCAAAGACAGAATATTTACTGAAAACACAACTGCATTTTTCAAGGGGTTTATTTCTTAATGGTAATAGTAGTAAGTCAACTGAAGTTTTGTGGAGACAGGGAAGCCACTTTCAAATGAAACTGTAGACAGCAGCTTACGATTTCGTAAGTATTTTAGATTCATGGTTTCACTGAGCTTTATGTAATGTTAGCCATCTTCCAGCTTTCCAATAAGTGGGTTAGAAATCTAAACAAAATATGAACAACTATTTCCAGAGCAGAAGTCATGTGTTGTTCTGTCATTGAACATTGAGAAAACCAAAGTGTTCTTCCAGCAGTCACCAGCCAACCCCTCTCCAATGTCATAGATACAACTTAATGGTGTAACATTAGAAAATGTTGACCATTTCCGCTACCTTGGCAGCCACCTCTCCACCAAAATCAACATCGACACCGAAATACAACACCGCCTGAGCTCTGCAAGTGCAGCATTTTTCCGAATGAAGCAGAGAGTGTTTGAGGACCGGGACATCCATAGGGATACCAAGGTGCTTGTCTATAAAGCTATTGTCCTCCCAACCCTGCTATATGCCTGCGAAACATGGACTGTCTACAGACGTCACATGCAACTCCTGGAACGATTCCATCAGTGCTGCCTCCGGAAAATCCTGCAAATCTCTTGGGAAGACAGAGACAAACGTCAGCGTGCTGGAAGAAGCAAAGACCACCAGCATTGAAGCGATGGTCCTCCGCCATCAACTCCGCTGGACCGGCCATGTAGTCCATGCCCAACCACCGTCTCCCAAAGCAGTTGCTCTACTCCGAACTCAAGAACGGAAAACGGAATGTTTGTGTACAGGAAAAGAGATTTAAAGATGGGCTCAAAGCCAACCTTAAAAACTCTGGCATAGACACTGAGAACTGGGAAGCCTTGGCCCATGAGTGCTTCTGCTGAAGGTCAGCTGTGACCAGCAGTGCTGCAGAATTTGAAAAGGCACGAATGGAGGGTGAAAGAGAGAAACCGAGACCGCCTTCCATCTGGAAACCAATGCCCTCATTGTGGGAGAAGATGCAGGTCAAGAATAGGGCTCCACAGCCACCTGCGGATCCACAAGAATACTGATCCTGGAAGACTATCCTACTCATCCAACGAGGGATTGCCTAAGTAAGTAAAATCAGTAAGTAGCCATCTTCCAGCTTTCCAACAAGTGGGTTAGAAAACTAAACAAAACACGAACAACTACTTCCAGGGCAGAAGGCATGTGTAAAACATGCTCATTTAAGTAACAAGAAAAGTAATACATTAAACTCGCTTAAAGAAATTATGTACCTCTGTTGTCCTGGACAAAAGCGCACCCGCATCGTCAATTCTGTAATTAATTGGATATTGACGTTCTGGCAATTTGATGTCAACACTCAGATTCATGCCCTTAGATGGAGGTATGTCAATCTCGTACTGGGCAAGAGCTTGGAACACCATGATGGTTGCCTGAAATGGCAGGATGAAAAAGAAGTCAGTTCCCCTTGAAGGGAATGGGCAGCCAAAATCTGGTGCCAAGAGTTATGGAGGATATGTAGAGCGGTCTCATACTTTTAAGCATGCTTTGTTTAATGTACATAAAGCTGCAGGATAATATGTCTGAAGAAGTTAAGAGCAGTTATAAGAGATCATGGTTTGGACTCAGACTTTAACACTGAAGAAAAGCTTCCTATTTTTGAGAAATAATATTCTTTGTCAAAGCTGACATATTCACTTGCAGGTCAACTTGCAAGTATCTCTATGACAATAAACAAATAGAAATTTATCTCAGGTTTTGTAAGAAAACTCTTGCTATGAGTGGCTGAAATATAATCCATTATTTGGCCCTCAGTTGGGTTTAGCTCCCCCTGCGACTGTGCTGTACCATTTGAAACTGCAGGTGGGGGAATTTCATGTGAGTATAAAAGCATCTCTGTAGGGGGGGAAATCCCTCCATATAGCATGTCAAGAAGAAGACCTCCATTGCATACTAGTTCTATATCTGCAGGGAAATATTGTATACGGAGGCTAGGCTACCATATTAAAGTGAAAGAATCAGCCAGAGCCAGGGCCGTAGCCAGAAAAAAAATTCGGGAGGGGTTGAAATTTTGGGGGGGGGGGGTTGAAAATTTCGCAGGGGTGGGTAGAAACCTGCCTCCTAGCTCACGCTGAAGCAAAGAGCACAGCAGGGGGCAGAGCAGCCTTCAATAGCCTGCAGCTCCGCCCCTGTCAACCACCTCCACCAAGTCTGGCCTCCTTAATGAGAGCATTCAACACACACACACCCAACTTGGTTGCTTCACTACATCGGCTATTGCTGCAAGTAATGACAGTGTGAATAAATTGTCAATATTTGCCTGAGATAGTGCTTGCAGTTCTGGAGGGACTCTTAATTTTTTGCATCTCATAGACTTAGCATGGGGATTTGGTTAACCAGTTAAAATTCATGAGTAAACCAGGTTTTTAAAAATAATCTGAAACATTTCGGGGGGGGGGGTTGAACCCCTAACCCCCCCCTCCCTCGCTACAGGCCTGGTCAGAGCCAATTCATTTTCTAGCAGCCTGAAATGAAATATAATTTTAATAGGACAATTGGGCAAGAACACCGAGGCAACTTACTGCCAGTCCAAAAAGACTGGTTCGACCATGAGTACATAATGATAAATAAACGAAATAAGACAATGTCAGTGTTAAAACATCAGAAGTAAAATTCTTACCTGGGTTTGTCCATATGTTCCCCCATAATATCTCTGCACCGTCAGCCATTTAACAATAACGTCAATACCCTCTACTTTCTTCATTTTCAGCAAGGCCAGCAGTGCATAGGAGGTGCCTTCAATGTTGTAGGTGTGGGCACCATGTTCTTCCCAGCGGTTCCCATCTAAATACAAAGAAAGAGATCTTGGTTAGAGATAATAATAATAATAATAATCCTTTATTTATACCCCGCTAACATCTCCCGAAGGACTCGGTGCGGCTTACAAGAGGCTGAGGCCCAACACATCAATAAAACAACAGCATAACAAATACAACAATAAATAAACTCATAAACTCATAAAACAAAACAATAAACATTAAAAGACTAGCAGTAAACATTAGACAATAACACCACGACGCATTTAAAACTAAGGCCGGGCCAAATGTAATGATTAAAATTTTTAAAAATGCTGGACATGACAGGTGAAATGGATAGGTTTTTGGAGGTAGGTGCGGTGTGCAGACAATCTTAAATCTCTAGTAAAGTGCATTTGGGACATGATGCTTGGAGTTTCCTATTCTGGGAAGGCACACTGGAACAACCACATCTTCAAGCTCTTCCTAAAGACTGCCCGCGTTGGGGCTTGTCTGATGTCCTTGGGGAGAGAGTTCCAGAGTCAGGGGGCCACCACGGAGAAGGCCCTGTCCCTCGTCCCCACCAATCGCGCTTACGACGCAGGTGGGATCGTGAGCAGGGCCTCTCCAGATGATCGGAGAGATCATGTGGGTTCATAAACAGAGATGCGGTCACACAGGTAGACGGGTCCCAAACTCTTTAGGGTTTTGTAGGTAAGCACCTGCACCTTGAATTGGGACCGGAAAATGAACGGCAGCCAATGGAGCTCCTTAAACAGGAGGGTTGACCTCTCCCTGTAAGGATTATGAGATCATCGTCATACATTCCTAATTATTGTGTTGTTTTTAAGTGTTTTTTGCACTACAAATAAGATATGTGCAATATGCATAGGAATTCATTTATGTTTTTTCAAATTATAATCCGGACCTCCAACAGTTTGAGGGACTATGATCTGGCCCTCTGTTTAAAAAGTTTGAGGACCCCTGGTCTAAGAGGTGCCAATGCTTTGTCCGGGGGTGCTTTCATGATGTCTTTCTTGAACTTGTTTTTCTGGTGGAAGAGTGTGTTAGTGATGACAAGGTTGTGTTCCACACATTTGGTGAGAAGCAGAATGCCATTCGAGTTGCTGTTTCCAACTCCATCTTTTCCTATGGTCCCTGGCTATCAGTCGAAGTCCGACTCTTGCATTAAAATCCCCCAGGAGGATTATTTTGTTCTCCTTATGTATCTCCGATAGCTGCTGTGTTTTGAACCAACTGGAGTTTCTGAACTCCCTACAGAGGTAGCCAAATGTAAAGTGCGTTACAGAAGTCCAACCCTGAGGCTACCGGCGTGTGCACTATCATCCTTAGGTCCTCCAGTTCAAGAAAAGGGTACCTCAACAGTGCCATTTCCTGGATATCAGTCAAAGCTGACATCTCTAATAGTATTGCAGTAGTGGATTAAATAGGAAATGGAACAAAAATCTGACCGTCCTACACTGCTCACATAATGGCTGACTATTTTCAATAGCTTTTCATTTAGTTCCTAACAGGAACTGCCTGTCCTTTTGATTCTGTTCAGTGCCTTGCTCCAGTGGTACCTGTTGATGCTGCCATGAGGACTCTGTCATCCTTCAGTCTCCCTGCCAGGGCCAAAGCGTAGGCTGTCAGCGCTGTGGTATAAGGCCTTTGCAATGTGTTGTATTTCTTCAGTAAATAGTCTGCAGCTTTGTCAATGCTGCTATTTAGAACCTACATTGGAGAGATGAGGTGGAGAGAACAGAAACAGAGTATATATGTGATGGGAGCATCTGGGAAGCAATTTTCAAATATGAAGCATTTGATGTCAACCATTTTTTCTGAATCATTTTGAGGCCCAACACTAAACAGGTCCTGTTTGTGTTCTGCTCACTTGCACAATGAAGTAGTCTGGACCTATTTACGCAACATGTTCCCCACTGTTTTGGAAAGGCTGAGGTACCATGGAGTTAAAGGATGTACTGGTTAGACACTTCTCAGATGTCTGAGCAGAGTTTGTTCGTCCTCTCCTTTTGTCTCTCTCACACATGATTCATCACCAAATGAAATAGCATCTGCCTTCTCTGACCAATTCTACACAAGTAAGTGGGTTAGATGGTATGCCTGGCCAGTATAGGGCTTTAAGGATTTCACTTCTGTATGGTGAGAATTTGGGGGGGCAGCTCTATTGGATTCACTTGAATGTGAAAGTTGGATGTGAACAATATGCAGGTTCTATGTGTAATTAAAATAAGATCCAGTGAAATCCTGGGATTAACAGTTTGGTGAGAGAGACCAGAGACTTTCTCTGGCTGGGGATTTCTCTATGTCCTCCATAACCTGCAAACCCCAGGATTCCGTGGGATGGAACCAGAGGTGGCCCTAGGTAATTTTCAACGGTAAGCAAACAGTATTTTGGTGCCCCCCCCCACCAATCATTGATATATATTTTCTGTTCATCATGGGAGTTCTGTGTGCCATATTTGGTTCAATTCCATCATTGGTGGAGTTCAGAATGCTCTTTGATTTTAGGTGAACTGTACATCCCAGTAACTACAACTCACATATGTCAAGGTCTATTTTCCCCCAAGAGCACCTCAAGAGCACCCCTGGGCAAAATCAACTATACTGCGAATGCTTACTTTGCGTAATGGGTTGAGCCGCCCCTGGATGGAACCATAGCAGTCAAATGAAATTCGCAGTCCTGTAACTGTGTCCTGTAAAAAGTTCCTATATATCTGTAGCACGTGAACAGATTTATAACAGAGATTGGAGACTATATGGCACTAAAGCCTCACCCAATGACCTTTGTGTTAACTATGGATTGCCTAGACCAGGGGTTCTCAAACTAAGGCCCGAGGGCCAGATACGGCCCTCCAAGGTCATTTACTTGCTCAGGGTTAACCTAGGTCTGAACCAACTTGAAAGCACACAACAACAATCCTATCTCATCAGCCAAAAGCAGGCCCACACTTTCCATTGAAATACTATTAAGTTTATATTTGTTAAAATTGTTCTTAATTTTAATTATTGTATTGTTCTGCCAACCTAGCAGTTCGAAAACATGCAAATGTGAGTAGATCAATAGGTACCGCTCCGGCGGGAAGGTAACGGCGCTCCATGCAGTCATGCTGGCCACATGACCTTGGAGGTGTCTACGGACAACGCCGGCTCTTCGGCTTAGAAATGGAGATGAGCACCACACCCCAGAGTCGAAAACGACTGGACTTCATGTCAGGGGAATACCTTTACCTATTGTTTTAAGTGTTTTTTGCACTACAAATAAGATATGTGCCGTGTGTATAGGAATTAATGCTTTTATTCAAATTATAATCCAGCCCTCCAACAGTTTGAGGGACTGTGACCTGGCCCTCTGTTTAAAAAGTTTGAGGACCCCTGGCCTAGACTGTGCTTGTCAAAATTTGGCTGCAGCATCCTGACACGTGGATCATGTTTGAATGCCTCAGACTAATCCGTTTTGCAGCCTGGATGATCTTGAACAATTCACATGCTCTCAGACACAGAGGATCCCATCCCAACAGAACAAAAATTTCAAATAAAACTTCATAAGATGTTTGCCTTAGGGTTGTCATTAGCTGAAAACAATGTGAAGGCACACAACAGCATCAGCTTACTCTTGGACACATTGTATTTCCCCCCATGAGTTCCAGCTAGTGATTTTTAATTTTTTAGCAAAATGCCTCACATAAGACAACATAAAGGATATTTAGAGGGAGAGGAAAGAATAATCAGCAACACCATCAAAACAAAAACAGAAAATAATGCCACCTAATCTTGAGGCATCTTTAATATTTTTCACCAAAGCACCCACCCTGCTCCATTCTGGCCATCACTCCTGTCTTTTACCTCTCCTTTCCTTTTGACCCACTCCAAATTATGAGTGAATAATTTATAGAAAAATGCCTTGCCCGACTTACCGGGTGAGGCCTGTTGCGGCGGCGGGCGTTCTCCTGCCGGCCACGTGGAAAAGCAGGGGGTTTCTTCTTCCCGGAAGCCCCCTGCACGGTGGGAAGTTTTCCCACCACACAGCTGGCCAGCCAGGGTGTGACCCCCAATATAGGCATTGTGCCTGTTCATCTTGCCTCTCTCCCTCCCTGCATTCTTAACTGTTTTCGGTTTGGATGATACTTGCATGTTATTTTGCTTGTCACAACTTTTGTTGGCATGTGGCATGGGCCCTGGATCTGAATCTCTTCCCTCACTTAGTGGAAGGGGGGCGGAATCGTCCGGTTGTCAAAGGGGGGGGGCATCAAGTAGCCAGGTATTGTACCAACAGAACCCCTGTGTGTTGCTGGTATTGGTCAGCAGTGGGCTGACCAATCCCAATCCAGAACCCATGCCTGGCAGCCAACCCATGTTCCTGTAACCAATAAACAAGTTGTGGCCATTTTCTTCCCAAGGTCGTGTTTGCGTCATCTTTGGGCTGTCGGCAGGAGGGGTGTTGCCCATCCACACGCAATAGGAGTGTTCCGATAACACATTAAAAAGCAGCCACCCAAATGAGCCAAAAATGGAGCCAAAAATGACCTGGCTTCAGTACTGGCAAATTAAAGAGAATTACAAAAAAGATAGGAAAAAAGGAATTGAAACTAAAGAAACGTCTTGGGATAAACTCATAAAAATTGAACACAAATTGATAAAGGGAATATACCAACAACTACTTCAATGGGCAACAGAAACAGAACAAATTAAAGATGTAATGGTTAAATGGGCAAAGGTAGTTAGACATACAATTGGGATGGAGAAATGGGAGGAAATCTGGAAAAAATTGAAATACGCTTATGCTGTAGAGATTAAAGAGAATTGGTATAAGATGTTCTATATGTGGTACTTAACTCCACAAAAAATAGCTAAATATAGCATGGGGAGGATTAGTGGAAATTGTTGGAGGTGTAAGAAGCACATAGGTTCCTTTATCCACATGTGGTGGGAATGTAAGTTAGTCAAGAAGTTTTGGTATGAAATATACAAAAAAATAGGAAAAATGTTGAAAGTAAAGTTTGAATTTTAAATCTGAGTATTTTCTACTGAGTATCTTAGACTTTCAACTGAACAAGAACGAAGACCAAAAAAATTTTCTACCTCACCACGGCAGCTAGAATATGCATAGCGCGGTTTTGGAAAGCAGAAGAAAGAGCAACAGCAGGAAAATGGATCGAAAAAGTAATGGACATAATGAATATGGATCTTTTGACTCAAAGACTTGCCCAAAACAGATCAAGAACAAATAGAAAGGATTGGAGCAGCTTTATTAATTTTCTTTAAAAAGAACAAATACAAATGATTGTAAATGTAATATAAAAAAATATCTCTGCTATATTTATAGACACACACATGATGACTTTTTCATTATGAACTTGTGGGGAAAATAGCAAATTAATACCACGGGAAGCGATCTGGAAGTGACAATGGAAATTGATAAATGTATGCTTGTCAGGTGTTTTTTTCCCCCTTTTTTCTAAGCTTTACACTTTTTCTTTTTGATGTTCTCCCACTTTCGCTGTATTGGGGGGGGGGGATAGTAGTTCAGGAATGTATAGGATAATTTAATTTTCATGTGTATCCAATGTTGTACTTGTTTAATATTATTTTATGATACTTATCAATAAAAATCATTGTTAAAAAAAAGCAACCACCCATATTTTATTGAGGGATACTTCCAGATGTAGTTGGACAGCAAGTTCCAGCAGTTCTTGCCAGAATAACCAATGGTGAGGAATTCTGGGAGTTATAGTCCAACAACATCTGGAAGGCCCATGGGAGCTACATGATTCCCGCCTTGTTTTGAATTGAGAGTGCAACTAGTTGGGTTGCTCATGGATCTTGAGAGACTGTAATGTTGAAGATAAAACAATGCATTGCTTGAAAAAGAAACAAAATGAAAAGAAAGAAAAGAAATTGCAAATGTATAAGAAATTGTCACTTCTTGTAATCTTTCTTACTATGGATATACTTACATTAACTTGATGCTGGCAGAGGCTTTTGGATTCTAGCAATGCAACCAGGACAAAAGCTGTTAATGACACCTCTGGTTCAGCACCCATATAGCCTCCCTAGAATGAAGCAGAAGAGAGGAGAAAGCAGACGTGAATGCAGGGTTCTGAATCTTGTCAGAGCCTTTGATGGTTTCTTTAAACTAAGACCCAGAACAGAACATTTCATTGAGACAGAATCACCCAACACCCAGTGCATACAATGGATGGCATCTGAAACAAACAAACCTGGGAATATCAGACAACTCAAAATCTTAGTTAACTAAAAGAAAAAAAGATTAAAATCTTAAAAGAATTAAACAGTATTTTTAATGATTGATTTAATTTCTGTTTTAGTTCTCCTGGGTATGAAAGCCACTGGACTGCAGAAATAGCAGAAAGAAAACATACCAACATCTCTCCATGAATCACAGGGGCCTCTTCAATGAAAATCCCATCTGGCCTTTGCTTCTCCAAAATCAGCCACTTCACACCTCCACAGAGAAGTGTATCACTAATAGTTGATACAAGTTTGGAAGCCAAGGCAAAGACCTTCACTACATATGCTGTTAGCCTGCAAGAAAAACAGAAGGCTTCAGACAAGGCTTATCCAAAGGTAGCCAGAATGCAGACAAAAAAGCATATATTATAAATCATTGCAGCTATAGAGCAATGTTCGGCAGTTCCTGAAAAGCCGTATCCAAAAGGAGAACAAGCTTTTACTGGAAAAGTTACAGAAAGCCAGACTATTTTGTGGTCACATAAATCTATATCGGCATACGCCTATTGCTTAGAGGAAAAGCAAGACCAGGGCAAGATAGGCCACCAACTGCAGCTTCTTTGTGGGGCAAATTGCTGACCTGGAATTTATAGAGGCTGCACAAACAGAGGAAAAATGGCCCATCATATATATATATACTAGATGTCCCCTGCCACACGTTGCTGTGGCCCAGTCTCGTGAGCTGGAAAAGAAAGTAATGGTTTCTAATCTATGTAATTTCTTTATGCTTGTAGGTAAACGATATTTCTTCTTGTTTCTTTGTCAGTGTTGATGTGGAGAGTGTCTGGTTTGCCTACTCTGGAATATGCAACATATCATTGTCCTTCTTTAGGGGTCCCTTTCAAATCTATGATACTATATCTCTCTGTGTGTCAATCATATATATCTATCTATATCTATGGCTGGATGGCTCTTTGTCAGGAGGGCTTTGATTAGATTTTCTTGCCCTGGTGAAGGGAGTTGGACTGGATGGCCTTAAGTATTTTCTGTTGGTCATGGGGGTTCTGTGTGGGAAGTTTGCCCCAATTCTGTCATTTGTGGGGTTCAGAATGCTCTTTGATTGTAGGTGAACTATAAATCCCAGTAACTACAACTCCCAAATGTCAAGGTCTATTTTCCCCAAACTCCATCTGTGTTCATATTTGGGCATATGGAATATTTGTGCCAAGTTTGGTCCAGATCCATCATTGTTTGAGTCCCAAAGTGCTCTCTGGATGTAGGTGAACTACAACTCCCAAACTCAAGGTCAATGCTCACCAAACCCTTCTAGTGTTTTTCTGTTGGTCATGGGAGTCCTGTTATACCACGTTTGGTTCAATTCCATTGTTGGTGGGGTTCAGAATGCTCTTTGATTGTAGGTGGTTCTTTGATTGTAGGTGAACTATAAATCCCAGCAACTACAACTCCCAAATGACAAAATCAAAATTTTGAGTGAAGGACATACATTGGGTTGTTAGGTGTATGCTGTCCAAATTTGGTGTCAATGCCCACTGGTTTTTGAGTTCTGTTAATTCCACAAACGAACATTACATTTTTATATCTATCTGTCTATCTATCTATCTATCTATCTATCTATCTATCTATCTATCTATCTATCTATAAGAAAACAAGAGGTGCCAGGTATTATGTCATAATACACATATTGTGATAAATTCCGCTTGACCTGCCATAGTAGTGTCTTCTGGGAACACGAGATTTGCCTTTTATCAGAAGTTCCCTGGCTGAGGATTGTAAAGTTCCCTTCCTAAACTACAAATCCCATGATTTTATAGGATGGTATAAGAAAATTAAAGGATATCTAGGCAGGGTGGACAACAAATCAATCCCACCTCTGCCCCTCAAGGCAAGGGAGAATAAAATATTATAAATGACCGAATGTTCTTGGTAGTATAAGCCGCCACCACCTCAGAATTATTGGCCTGAGGAACCAAAGGTGTGAATATGTTTTAGGTAAGGGGTGTTTGTGCCCTTGTTCTTCTATGGCTTCCTCACTGGCTGACTGGACTTTAAAAATGGTTTGACAGAATGAGTTCTGAGGAAATGGATAGATTGAGGCATACACCAGTTAAAAGTTAACTAGAAAGAGTTTATTGAACTTTATATTAACAGCAACTCATAGAAATGAGTGGTACAGAAGCGTGATTCAGTTGCAGAAACTTGGTTACTTAAACAAATAGTTCCCCTGACAGAAAAGCTTTTAACAACTGTGAGACTCCTTAAACATACTGTTCTATCTTTAGACACAGTATCAGTTAAGAACAGACTCCTGTCTGCACAGGGCAATAAGCTCCCCTATACTGTCCCTAGTATAAGGAGACAAATCTTTCTTTTACTGGCTCCCACAAACACAGTAAAATCCTAGCCTTTTGTCTCAGCCTATTCCCTAAACTTAAGGCTCACTAAAAGCTCTTCCTTTTCTGTCAGATCCCTGCTCTATCTAGCTTCCTCTCCTAAAAATTACTTCTTTCCCTGTCTGATGTTAAGACACTTCTCCTCTCTGTCTGATCTCAAGACACTTCTCTCTCTCTCAAAAGCTGACAGCTTATTTTCCCTCTCACAACCGACTCCTCCCCTAATTGCTAGACCCAATCAGGAGTCGGCTTGACTCCTCCTCCTGTCCTGCCTGCCTTCCAAGATGACAGCCACTGTCATGCAGGCTACGGCCTAGCCGACTGAAAGGTAGATTTCATGACAGATGGCTATAAAAATGGAATCAGACATTTGGGAAAGAATGAGGGGCACGCTGCTGGGAGGTTGTGGGTAGGTTTTGCATACACACCCCAAATGGGAAGTTTAGTTTCACAATCCTGTGTGTTTTTATGAGCTCCCTGCAAATAACTTGCTCCTATTTTAATCTCATTAGAGTTTTTTAACATTTTATCCTGTACATGTGACTCGCCCACTGTTACTGCGACTGTGTTTATTGTAATGTTATTTTGTTATTGTATTCATTTTTAATGTAATTTTGATAATGTTGCATTTTGTTTATGTTTTGCTTTTATTTTGATGTAATATGTTGTCCAGGCTTGGCCCCATGTAAGCCGCTCCAATTCCCCATTGGGGAGATGGTGGCAGGGTATAAATAAAGATTATTATTATTATTATTATTATTATTATTATTATTATTATTATTAATTAGGATCCACCCCTGTGCCGGCAGGACTGAAGACCGACAGGTCACAGGTTTGAATCTGGGGAGAGGCGGATGAGCTCCCTCTATCAGCTCCAGCTCCTCATGCGGGGACATGAGAGAAGCCTCCCACAAGGATGATAAAAACATCAAATCATCTGGGTGTCCCCTGGGCAACGTCCTTGGAGACGGCCAATTCTCTCACACCAGAAGCGACTTGCAGTTTCTCAAGTCGCTCCTGACACGACAATAATAATAATAATAATAATAATTATTATTATTATTATTATTATTATTATTATTATGGGGGATGGTGAGTTTTTAAATGTAATTCTAATTGTATCTATTGTACTAGCCATCCACTGCCATGCTTTGCTGTAGCCCAATCTGTGTATATGTATTTTGTGTATGTATATATATATATATATATATATATATATATATATGTATGTATATGTATGTGTGTGTATCTGTATATATGTGGTTTTGCACATGTGTTGTAATGTATTTTTTATTTTTTAGCTTTTTAAGTCCCTTCTGATGTGTTTTTCAGTGTTTTTATGAGTGATGGTCACTCCTTGGCCTGATAGGTGTATTGCGTCCAAATTTGGTGTCAATTCATCCAGTGGTTTTTGAGTTATGTTGATCACACAAACAAACATTACTTTTTTATTTATATAGATTTTAATTGTATTTTAACTTATATCCACACACTAATCATTCATTGTTTTTATTTGTATTTGTTTTGTTATGAATTTTATTAGACTGGGTGGTTGTTATCCAACTTATAATAAGATTTGTTGACCAAAAATATGACTACTGCCCATAAATACATTTAAGAAACCTTGGGCAATAGATGGATTAGCACCCTTTAATTAGATTTGGAATGTTTTATACAGAAAAAAAAGTTGTATTACTTAACTATCCTATATTTAAGAGTCTTTGGATAAATTGACGAGTTAACATCCCTTAAATAGCCTAGAAATATTTACGTAGAAGTACATTAGAGCCTTGTTTATCCAGCCTTTGCTCATCCAGCATTCTGTATTATCCAACATAGTCTCCCTCCTGCCTGGATCCACAGCTGTTTCAATACATTGCAATGTTTTGGTGCTAAATTCATAAATTCATAAATTACTGCATAACGTTATCATTTATTGAAATGCTTTTTCTGTCGATTTGTCGTAAAACATGATGTTTTGGTGTTTAATTTGTAAAATCATAACATAATTTGACGTTTAATAGGCTTCTCCTTAATCCCTCCTTATTATCCAACATTTTCACTTATCCAATGTTCTGCCGGCCCGTTTATGTTGGATAAGTGAGACTCTACTGGAGATAAGCACTGAGAAGTGGTAAGGGGGAGAAATAATTATAGTGATAGTGATACATAGTAAACTTTTGACTACATCATTTTAACTTCCTAACCTACTAAAAGATTAAATTAATTTTTTAGATTTCTTGATTAACAATTAAAATTAGATAAAGACTTAAAAGAAATAATCCGACAAGAATAATTGACAAAACTATACTGATGAGAAGCTGGAAGAGAAGATAGTTTTGAAAGGCAGCAGATTACAGGAACTGTCTTCATAGACCTATCAGCAGCATATGATAATGTAAATCATCGCCTTCTCCTGAGAACATTAATATCACAAAGAATTACCACCATAGAATCATAGAATCATAGAATCAAAGAGTTGGAAGAGACCTCATGGGCCATCCAGTCCAACCCCCTGCCAAGAAGCAGGAATATTGCATTCAAATCACCCCTGACAGATGGCCATCCAGCCCCCGTTTGAAAGCTTCCAAAGAAGGAGCCTCCACCATACTCCGGGGCAGAGAGTTCCACTGCTGAACGGCTCTCACAGTCAGGAAGTTCTTCCTCATGTTCAGATGGAATCTCCTATCTTGTAGTTTGAAGCCATTGTTCCGCGTCCTAGTCTCCAGGGAAGCAGAAAACAAGCTTGCTCCCTCCTCCCTGTGGCTTCCTCTCACATATTTATACATGGCTATCATATCTCCTCTCAGCCTTCTCTTCTTCAGGCTAAACATGCCTAGCTTCTTAAGCCGCTCCTCACCCACTTAATAGGAAATCTGCTATAAAACATGAGCTTTTTTGTTGAGTTCTAGGATCCAAGAAGCAGATGGCGAAAACAGAAGAGGGGAGCGTGCTTGCTCCATCAATGTTTAACATTTTTCACAAATGACCGGCCACTGCCAGAAGGGACAAAGAGGTTCATCTATGTTGACAATCGCGCCATCACCGCTCAAGCAGGGAACTTTGAACTGTTTGAACAGAAGCTCTCCGAAGCTTTAGGTGCTCTTACTGCCTATTACAGGGGAAACCAGCTGATTTCTAATCCATCTAAAATGCAGACGTGTGCTTTTACCTGGAAATGAATCCCACTGGAGCCTTGCAGCACACCAAAGCACCTGGGAGTTACTCTGGACCGTGATCTGACTGCTTGACTATCAAGCAAAAAGTAGGTGCTATAAATAATATATTACAAAAGCTGACTGGCACAGCCTGGAGATCACAACCAGATAAGTCAAGGCATCTGCCCTTGCGCTTTGCTACTCTGCTGCTGAATACACATGCCCAGTGTGGAATACATTTCACCACGTTAAAAAAGTGGATGTGGCTCTTAATGACACATGCCGCATTATCACAGGATGTCTATGCCCTACACCACTAGTGAAATCATTCTGTTGAGCCAGTATTGCACCACCTGAGATTTGCCAGGAATTAGCAGCCTGTAATGAAAGGACCAAGGGCTGGGCAACCACGGAAAAATTTGTTTCTAAACTCGATTTGTTTTTAGGGGGTTTTTGTGTTTCGATTTTTAAAAGAATTCCGAAATTTTTCTTTAAAAAAGTTCGAAATTTACGAAATTTCGGAAATTACGAAACAATTACGAAACAATTACGAATCGATTCGTTAATGGCGGACGCAACCGTGCAATATGCTAAAAAAACCTCCAAATGGGACAGGGGGAACTTCTGAAGCTTCCCTCTCCCTCTGTTGCTGACTGTTGGTGTGATAATTATATATTTTTTTCACTGATAAAACAAACAACAACTATAAAACTTGCACCAGACATGTGGAAATAATAACGAAACAATTTCGAAAAGATTTTTAAACAGTTTACTAGAAAAAAAATGAGGGAAATTAGAAACCCAATGCTGAGCAATATACTTAAAGTATGGAATAAATATAAGGGGAGGTTAATAAAGGAGGGATCAATTATAACCCCAATAGTGATGGAAAAGAAGTTCCCAAAAAATCTAAAAAAAGTAATGGATAAAAAGGTAAGGGAAATAAATTTAGATAGGATAGGGGATTGGATGAAGGTGGAAATGAAGAGGGAAAGGATGTTGGAAGAGTTTAAAGAAATAAAATTGTCATGGTTTCATTGTATACAATTAGAACAATGGGTAATAAATTGGAAAAAAAATAATAGAAGTGAAAGCCAACTCAGTCAATTCGAACAAATAATACAGAAGGGAAGGACTGTAGAAGAAAACGAAAACTTGAGAGGTATAATTAGCAAAATTTATAAGATATTAATTGAAATGAAAGATGAAAAAACAAAAAAGTGCACCCTTAAAGAGATTTGGGAAGAAGATTTAGGGATAAAAATAAGCGAAATAGAGTGGCAAAAATTATGGGGACAAAGACATTTAAAAAATTTATCGATACGAGTTAAAGAAAATTATTACAAGTTAATATGGAAGTGGTACTTGACACCGGTAAGAATAGCATATATGAATAAAAATAACTCAATAAATTGTTGGAGAGGGTGTCAAGAACCAGGAACATATATACACATGTGGTGGCAATGTAAATATGTAAATAATTTTTGGGAGAAAGTATTTAGAGAAATAGAAACTATAATGAATATAAAAATAGATAAAAGTCCTAGTATAGCTTTACTATCATTATATAACAATAAGCAATTGAAAAAGGAGGATAAAGAAGCGATAACAAACTTACTAACTATAGCAAGACTGCTTATAGCAAGGAATTGGAAAAAAGAAATGAATATACAAATAGAGGAGTGGTATAAAGAATCATG